TATAAGTAGACTTTTCTATAGTTAAATATATTATATAAGAAAATTATATATATAGTTAAACTTTATATTACTCTTATTATATTACTCTTCTTCTTTATCCTCTTCTAAGTAATATATCTCTATTAATAATATATTACTTAAGATTTTAATCTAATTATCTTTACTACTTTNAATTTTAATCTAATTATCTTTATTACTTTATTTAACTTTATTTTATTTAATTTATAACTATATAAGTAGTATTTATAATACTAATAATAGTAGTAATAAAATAAAATTAAAGAGTTTTAAAATACTTATAAAGTTAGTTATATTTAATAGTAAATAGCTTTATATATACTTACTATATTAACTAATTTTAATTAGTATATTATAGATTTCTTATTTAATAGATTAATATAGTACTAAAGTATTAATATATTAAGATAACTTTAACTTATTTAAAACTAATACTATAGAGTTTTTAAGTAGTACTACTATTATCCCTCTTAGTAATTTAATATATTATGAGGGTATAGCCTAGGAGGCTAGGCTAGGGAAGGATAAGAGGGCAGTAATATAGGGGTTAATTACTATAAACTAGGCAAGTTAGCCCTTCTAGCTACTTACGCGCGTAGCGCCCCTTTTTAGGGCCTAGCTTAATAACCTAGCTAAACCTCAGCAGAGGCCTAGCGACAGCTTAACGCTAGTACTAGGCCTAAAATCCTAATTTTCTCATAATTACCCCCCCTCTAGAGGGCTTAGTCTTTAAATCTATTAATCTATAGTAAAAATAATAAAACTCCTACCTATATAGGGATTTAAACCCTCTATAGCGCTTATAATTAGTCTTTTTATTTCTATATAGCCTTAGGTCTTATATTTACGCGCTATCAGCTTTACTAGAGGCCCCCTAGGTACTTAGCAGCTCTATTATTATCTTCTACGTAGCTTTAGGTCTTTTACTTATATATTAGTAGGCTAGCTACTTCTATATAGCTTTAGGTTTTATACTTATATACTGTTAGCTTTACTAGAGGTATTATAGGCTCTTAGTAGTATCTAAGTTACTAGGGATAGTCTATTACTTTCTATATAGCTTTAGGTTTTTTACCTATATACTAGTAGGCTAAGCTAGCTTTTATATAGTTTTAGGTCTTTTACCTATATACTAGTAGCTTTACCTACTATCCTCTAAATACCTAGTAGCTATTTATCTTCTAATATATCTAGCTTATAGCTTATCTACTAGTTTAGGATAGGGCTAGTAAAGCTATTCTTATTAATACTTAGAAGCTACTATATCTATATAGCATTTATATAAGTATAGGCTATAGCTACTAAAAGGTTAGCTTTATACTAGTATATTTCTATAAAGTAGCCTTTTTTATAGTATATTTTATACTACTTATTAGCTTAGTAATTAGGCTTATAGTGATTACTTTTACTATACTTTAGGTAGGTAGTATTTAGTGCGCTAGAAGTATTATAGTTAAAATAAAGCCTCTTTAAGGCTAGCTTAGTAGTAGCCTCTTACGTCTATAGCGCTAAAAGCTTACTAGGTCTTTTATAGTAATTATACTACTTTAGGTTGGTCTCTTATAGCTACTCTATAGTAGTAGTTATAGTGCGCAGTTACTATATATTAAACTTCTACTATTTAAAAGCCTATTAGAGCTAAAATAAAAGCTAAAAAAAGAATATATAGGTATAAGCTTATAACTCTTTAAAGTCTATACTAAAGGCTTAATATATTACTAACTAGTTAGTGAAAAACTAAAGAGGTTACTAATTAGCTTCCTACTAGAGGCTGTTAAGTAGGCTATATAACTAGCGCTCTTAAAGCTTAGTATTAATATATTCTTAGTAAATAAATACTAAGAAGTTAGCTTATATAAGGTCTTAAGGGCTATTATAGCTATTAGGCTTAGTTACTATAAAGCTAGCTTAATAGTTATATTACTATATTTATAAGGTAGTAGCTACTCTTATAAGTACTTAATAGATCTTCTAAGCTTTAGAAGTACTAAGATAGAGGGTATTACTATCTCCTATAGCTATTAGCTAATTATAGATTTAGGCTAGCGTACTATCTTTAGTGAGGACTCTATAAGTATATACTAGTAAGCGTTTATATTTATAAACTTAAGCTATTTTAGAAGTTTTAGAGGCTAGTATAAGGGTTAGTTAATTAGAGAGGGCCCTAATTAGTATATCGTTCTAGTTAGCTTAATACTAAATAGTTACGATAAGTTTAGTAATTAGGGCTACGTTAATAGCTATAGCTAGAGGGGTTTTAGACCTAGAAGCTACTTCTAAAGTAAAATTTTCACTACCTAGCGCTATAAAGTTATTAGTAATAGCTTAGTAAGATCTTATACTACTACTTATTCTAAAGTTAGCTACTTATAGTAAGTAGAACTTACCTAATTATAAGGGTATAGCCTAAGAGGCTAGGCTAGGGAAGGATAAGAGGGTAGTAATATAGGGGTTAATTACTATAAACTAGGTAAGTTAGCCCTTCTAGCTACTTATATACGTAGCGCCCCTTTTTAGGGCTTAGCTTAATAACCTAGCTAAACCTCAGTAGAGGCCTAGCGACAGCTCAGCGCTAGCGCTAAGCCTAAAATCCTAATTTTCTTATATATATATTCTTATATAAATATCTCCTTCTAACTCTTAATAGTTTAAATAAAGTTTAAAGTAAGATATTATATTAGAGATAGTATTAAACTATTTTTTATAATAAGTATTATTATTTATAAAGGATATAATTAAGTTCTTAATATCTTTAGTAAAATCTTAAATAAAACTATATTTAGTAAACTAAATATTTAGTAACTTATAAATTATTTATAAGTTATTATTTATTAATTATAGTTTCTATAGCTTCTTTCTAAACTTTTTATTAATATTATATTACTTATTATAAATAGATATAAACTACTTAATAAAGCTAGTTACTTAATCTAAAGCTTTTTAGAGTAAATTTAATACTATTAATAAGGATAAATAAATTAGAAATATAATACTTAGTTAATAAGTACTTAAAAGGTTTAATAGTAGAAGAGTTAGTAATAAATATTATAAGATATTTATATATAGCTAATATACTNACTTAAAAGGTTTAATAGTAGAAGAGTTAGTAATAAATACTATAAGATATTTATATATAGTTAATATACTATTAGTACTAATACTAATAGTAGTAGCTATATATATAGATTAGAATATTAAAAATAATAATTTAATACCCCTATATTACTATATATATTAATAATAGTATTACTATTAGTATTAGTTAAGCTAGATCTTAACCTTAATAATAGAAATATAATATTTTTAACTTTCTTTTCTATTATTATTATTATCTCCTAATTATTATTAACTTTAATAATATTCTTATTTCTCTTATTTTAGTATTTCTAATCCTCTATAAACTAGTTATAAAGAATCTCACTAAGTAGTTTTTTAAGTAGTTCTATATTAATAATATTAGTTTATTTAGTTATAAAAGCTTTTACTTATTTCTCTATATAGTAAGATTTAATTTTATAATACTTCTAGTTTAATATATAATATTAGTTAAACTTCTTATTACTTAAACTATTCTTATATTTCTAATACTTTAAGTAAATATATATATAGAGAAGTTATCTATATATACCCTCCTTCTAATACTTAATATTTATAGGATTATTAAATTTATAATTAATTACTTCTTATATATTAACTAAAATACTTATTTAGTTACTTTTTTAAAGTATTTATATATTAGTTATTATATTATTAAAAATTAGTATAATACTATATTATTACTTAATAGTAAAGTAAATTTTACCTCTCTTTTTAATTTATTTAAGAGAGGGAATAATATTAACTTATAGAATATTTAGTTAAATAACCTCTCTAGTAAATAGATAGACCTAAATAAATATTAATATTAGTTTAAATATATTAATAAACTTTCTCTAAGTAATAATAATAATAATATTAGTTTTTTTTAGAATATATAAATAAACTATTTCTACTTTAAGTTAAGTATTACTATCTACCTCCTAGTCTTTATTATTTATATCTAATATATTAGTAATACTAAATCTATTATATATAATANTACTCTTAATAGTTAGATTAAGAATAAGTAAACTATTACTTTTAAATATTAAACTATAAATAACTTAGATTTATAATAGAATTAGTTCCTTATTACTTATATTATCCTCCGCTTTAAATATATTATAGAATAATATAAATATATTATTAGTACTATAGTAAGAGGCTATAAGTATTTTATCTATAAATTAAGTAGTTTAATAAGAAGTTAAGTTAATTAAAGTTAAGTTTAGTTAAAATAATAATATTAATAAAAGTAGAGTACTTTAGAGCTAAATTATATATAGTAGATCTTTTTTTTACTTCCTCTATATTATTATTACTTTTTAGTAAGAAAATATTTTTAGAACTTTTTATAATAATAGAGGTATTATAAATATATACCTTTTTTATAATATAAACTTAGGAGCTATTAAATTATTAATCTTAGGTTTAGTCTTAATAATAATAATTTTAATAATAACTTCCTTAGTAATCTCCTTAATAATAATAGCTTAATAAACCTTCTTAGTAAGTATAATAATCCTAATTAATAATAAAATAGAGTATTAAAGAGGATCTCTAGTAATATCTTATATTAGTTATTATATATATTATTATTTCTATATACTATTAATAATAGGTAATAAATAATACTTAGATAGGTTATTATCTATTTATTAAACTATATAGTAGTATTTAGGAGGTATTATAATACTTTTAGATAATAAGATTTAATAGGAATAGATTAATTAAAACTATTAAAATAAGTTAATTACTATATTATAAGTATCTATATAGTATTAAGTAAATTTTTATATATATATAGGGATTATATATACGTAATTTCGGTAAAAAGGGGGGGCGGATGCTGTTAACGTAACGGACTGTATCGACAGTTCACCTGGTAACGACGCTGGGACGGAAGCTATCTGCCTGAGTACGCCCAGCGTTCCAGCTAAGCTCAGAATCAGCCCCTTCCGCGAAGCGCAAGACGAACTTCTCTCGGCTCTCGGGAAGGCGCTCCCATATGCGCCGTTAGAGCATGTTCTCTCCACATGCATCGACCTCTACATGCAATGGGAGTTTCCCACAGGTCCGGTGATCTGCGAGCCAATAGTGCGCCAAGCCGTCCCCATCGTCGTCCCAATTCTCCGGGGCGAAACGGCGATTCCCAGCAGCTCGGTTGCCGGGCCCTCCACTTCGGACGTATCGACAACCCGGGCCTTTGCTCTGTTGACAGGCATGTGCGCGTTCGTATCGTCCAGTCTGCCAAGTGACTTCTTCGCGCCAGGCAGCGCGTTGGCATGGCCTTTTCTCAGGACGTCACGCGAGGCTCTTCGGTTATACCAAGATTACGACGTCGAGCATCCCGAGAGCAGTTCGGTGATTATCCGGTACTTCCACTCGAACGCGCTTCATGCGCTGGGAAAGACACGCGTTTCGTGGCATGTTATGGGCGAAGCTCTGCGTCTTGTCCAGGAGATGCGTCTGTATGATGAGACGAGTTTTGCAGAGCTCGAGTGGCCTGAGGCCCAGCTGAGGAGGAACGCGTTCTGGCACCTTTACATTGGTGACAAGTCTGCCTCCATCTTGCAGAAGGTGCCGATTTCTCTGCATCAGATGTGTCTGGATACGCCCATCACCACGATCTTCGACGAGAACATGGCATGCGGACTGATGGACACGACGCATAATCCAAGTAACATCGCTTTCGAAAGCCAACTACGCGTGGGCTTTCATCTTTGTTTCCGGCTCTGGTACACCGCATCAGAAATGCTCATCGACTTGAATCTCCTGACTCGTCTTCAAGGCAGAAGCGACGCTGTCGCCACAACACCGCCAGACACCACGACTTTGAGAACGAGTATCATGAAGTCATACTTTGACTTCACGAGCATTCTGCATAATTGTCCGCCTTGGATAAGAGACCCTTCTTCTAGTGAAGATACAGCGACGAACGAAGCCATGCTCCGGTTCCGGACTCGCTCTTTTGCCACGCAGAAGGCAAATCTTTTCGTGACGCTACACGCATTACGCCTAGTGCTTCTTTGCCGGTTCGCCGATCGTGGCTTTGCCGAGATCCTCGGGCTCACCAACGATCCGACGATGCTGTCTCTCCGGAAAGTGGAGATCGCGAGTGACTTGGTAGAGATTGTCACCGAACTGCCGTTCGAAGCGCTCCAAGCCAACGGAGAGCCATGCGTAAGTCTGTTCTTTTAATGATTTGAACCTTTACTTCAGCTGAAACCCCACCAGGTCGAGAAACTACGCCAAGTCGGCGTGGCTCTGCTTGAAATAATTCATAGCGTGACCAACGACGCAATCTCCGCCCGCGCCAAGTCCCTGTTTAGCACGCTTCTGGACGTTCTCGCGCGACTCAATTCCAGAGTCTCGGACGAGCTGAGCAATGACCGCTAGTCATGGCCAGGTACGCATCAATAAGCCTGGACTTCCCTCTCTCCGCGCCAAGTGGGTTCTGCTCCAACATGGGAAGTGGGCTGTTGGCGTGCATAATCCTCCGCGGAGAATTGGACCCGCAACCCCCCATCTCGCTGTATCCCCACTACATGACGCGCGGGGTGGTATAAGGTTGAGGTGCCGACGAGCGAGCCGCAGAGGCAAGATGGTTGAGGCAATGACCTGATCTAGGAAATTTCGCAGCCGGAAGACATATCCCGCGATGGCAGAGACAAAGACATTCCGCAATCCCATCATTCCCGGCTTCGCGCCCGACCCGTCCGTGGTCTTTGTGGACGGGGTGTTCTACCTCGCTACGTCGTCCTTTCACGTCTTCCCCGCTATACCTATTTACGCGTCGACGGATTTGCAAGAATGGAAACAAATCGGTCTGTCCCCTCTTCGTTATCGCAAGGTGGCTTCCAGGGTCGTGACTAACAAAAGATCTAAAGGCAATGCGATCAACCGCAAGGAGCAGCTCAGCCTCGAGCGCGCCGAGACGGCGGTGATGCCTCTCGACACGGGCAACATCATGGTCTCGTCCGCAGGCCTATTCGCACCCTCAATTCGACACCACGAGGGCAGGTTTTACATCATCTGCACCAACGCGACCCGCCGCGACGGGGAGTTCTGCCTCGAGAACTTCTACGTCAGCACCGCCGACATCTGGGCTGGCGAGTGGTCTGATCCGATCTACTTCCCATTCCACGGGATCGATCCCAGTCTGTTCTTCGACGACGACGGGCGGGCGTACGTGCAGGGGTGCTGGATGATAGATCGCCTCAAGCAGCCGAGCTGCACGATCAAGCAGTTCGAGATCGACATCGCGACAGGGGAGGCGCTGTCCGAGGTCAAGGAGATCTGGGGCGGGTACGCGAGGTACGATACTGAGGGCCCGCATTTTTACAAGCGCGGAGAGTGGTACCATCTGCTTGTGGCTGAGGGCGGAACGTTTGAGCATCACATGTTGAGTATCGGGCGCTCGAAGAGTATCTGGGGCCCGTTTGAGTCGTGGGAGGGGAACCCGATCATGACTGCGGACGGAAAGGCGGAGTATGTGCAGAACGTTGGGCATGGAGAGCTCTTTCAGGACGGGGAGGGGGCGTGGTGGGCTGCTGTGTTGGGGGTGAGGGATGAGGATGAGGCGCCGCCTTTGGGGAGGGAGACGTTTTTGACGGCGCTGGATTGGCCGGAGGGAGGGTGGCCGACGGTGCAGCAGCCGACGATGGAGTTCCAGCGCGAGGTGAAGGAAGCGATTGGAGCGAGGAGACATCTACCGCCGTCGCCAAGGGACGTTGACCTGGTCTACATCCGGGATCCTGATTTCGACAAGTACGAGTTCAGCGGAGAGGGTGAAGGGAGAGTGTTCCGCCTTCGAGCTAGCGGTTCCAGCATCTCATCACCATCCGGCACAGCTACATTCTTTGGCAAGCGTCAAAGGGCCATGGACGCGAGTGCATCGGTCTCATTGGACCTTACGGCGACGAAGTCGGGAAACACCGTTGTTGCAGGCTTGGCTCTTTACAAAGACGCGCTGCGTCATGTTTCTCTCGCCTACGATTTTGGGTCGTCGCGGCTAGTATTCGATGTTACAACCACATCGGAAGACAAGAAGCAGAGCGTCTCCCTGGATGCTGGCTCGGGGACAACTTCACTGAGCTTCCGGGTTGAGACGTCGGCGAAGGAGTACAGGTTCTTCTACCGGGAGAAGGACGACGAGGATTGGAAGCAAGCGGGGTCGGCACGTGTGGCAGATCTGGTCGCAAGAGAGATGACTGGGCCAATTTTTGGGTTGTTTGCTCATGCCTCGGGGGCCGAGGGTGTTAGAAAAGAGGCAAGATTTGACCAGTTCATTGTGGAGGGACAAAAGAGCTTGGTGTGGTAGATGGTAAGACCGAGGCACTCTGGCAAAGCCTGGAGATCAGAAATAAGGCATTTGTGGCGAAACGGCTCTTTTGAGATTAATTGTCTCTGCGCTCAGTTTCAAGTAAACATTTTGATCTAGAGAAAAGATCATCGCGCATGAGGTTGACTTCAAGCCTCCTCATTCGTGGCTATGAAATGCCGAGGTTCATGACGTAATCATGCCAACGACCGTTCACCCCTCCATAGGCAGCATCCCCCCTCTTTCGTGAAGATATTTCTACAGTGTTTAGTCCATGTTCTCCAGGATACTTCGTCAGACTCATTGCTGTTTCAGACTTGACGATACGGACTCATTGACCAAGATGGATCCTGCCAAACTTCCGCCCTGGAACCTGCCAAAAGGTGTCACGTCTCGGTTCGTCGACACGGCTCCAAAGAGCCTCAAAATGCATATTCTCGAATCAGTTCCTGAGAACAAAGCACCAGAAACCCAGCCCCCCCTAATCCTTCTGCTCCATGGTTTTCCGAACTTGTCGTACGACTGGCGCTACATCCTGCCACTCCTCGCGAACGCGGGCTATCATGCCGTTGCTCCCGACATGAGAGGCTTCGGACGAACCCACAATTCCGACCTCAGCCCAATTGCAGAGGATACCATCCGCCCTGTCTTCTCAGTTCACGACGTCGTGTCGCTTCTCGAGGGCTTGGGCTACGAATCTGTTCACACAATCGTCGGCCACGATCTCGGGGCTGTGCCGGCATCGCTCACTTCAATAATTCGCAAGGACTTGGTCAAGTCGCTTGTTCTCATGGCACACCCTTTCAAGGGCATTCCCGCTCCTTCAGCCAGCAGCAACAAGGGTGGAGGGGACCCGGATATTCAGGCGTCTCTCGGGAAATTGAATCCTCCGAGGAAGCACTACAAGTACTACAACGCGTCACCTGGCGCAGCTGACGAGTGGACGAATCCGAAAGGGGAGCCTCTTCATAACTTCCTCAGGGGCTATTTCCATCTCAAGTCTGCAGACTGGGTTGGGAACAAGCCGCATCCTCAGAAGTCATGGACGGCGGAGGAGCTGGCTGTTATGCCGCATTACTACGTCATGAGAGCGGACTTGTCGATGCGCGGAAATGTCGAGCTGGACATGGCAGAAGAGTCACAGAGTGTCCTTGAGAAGCTTCCAGACACTCCTTGGCTTACTGACGCAGATCTTCGTGTGTACTCTGAGGAGTTTGGCCGGACAAAGTTTGATCGCGCTTTGCAGTGGTACCGGGCCATCATCGACCCCAAGCAGGCGGAGGACCTGCTCCCATTTGCAGGAACAAAGATAGCTGTGCCGACAAAGTATGTCTCTGGCACAGCTGACTGGGGAACGTACCAAGTTCCGGGTTCCCTTGAGGCCATGGAGAATGGGACCAGCGTCGAGCCTGTTTGCTGGCGGAGCGCAGTGCACATCGATGGCGCGGGGCATTGGGTGAATATGGAACAGCCAGAGAGGTGTGCTGATGAGATATTGGCCCTCGCAAGATCTGTTTGATACTGCCGTTGGTCCAAAGGGGTGTGGTCATTTAGGTTTGCGCGCGCGACGGCCTACCTGGACGGGTTGTCAGCAATGTAGAGGCCGATAGTGCTTAGGTAATCGAAAGCCCTTCTTTTGATGTTCCGCATCGCGAGGCATGGGTGATTCGCAGCTTGGTGTTGATACGCAGCCGTGATTCAGTCAGTCTAGACTCCGACTAAGTCCAGTGCTATTTGCGTACTATGTATTACCCACAATGGCTAGGTTTCAAGACTCTATTAAACAGAGTCTATGGTAGTCATTTCTGTTCATCTCATTGTATATTGTTTAGCTAGACACGTTAACACGCGTGGAGCTTGAGGGTCGTTGCTGGCGAGGAAGGAGCGATCTCGGTCAACCACCCGCCACCTTCCCTCGTTCCTTCCTCCACGGCAGAAGGTCGCACCTTCCTTCCGGAGATGCCTCCATTACAAATTTTCTCTCCTGCCTCTCGCGACGCGGAAAGCCCCCGGCCTGCCACTCTTTAACGCCTTTCTCCGACTCCTGCCCCCTCTCCTCTGCATCTTCCTACCTTCCGCCTCCCCGACTCTGCAAATTTCTTCCCTTTGCAACCAAAAGAGCACCATTCCCCATCAACTGTCACTTCAATACTTGGCTTCCGATTTGTACTATCGTACCACACAGCTGTCTTGCATTTTATCGTTTTACTTGCTTCTATCCGCACCGCGCAATCTCGCGATCTCAACCCTGGCCATCGCCATGTACGACCAGGCGGGGCTTGACCGCGAATGGGCCCTCGCCAGAGGCCTCCCTCTTGACGACCGGAAAGCTGTTGAAGGCATTATTCGTCTGGCAGAGATGATGAACGAGGAGGAGCGCCAAGAGGCCGAGGCCGAACGCCGTACCACCGGGGACGCCGTCGCCACCCAAGATGCGGACGAGCCTGTCGAGCAGGTGACCGACGAGGCTCCTCGCGCCGTCACCAACGACGATGATGTCGCTTCCCATGGCACATCTTCTGCAGAGACTGCCATTAATCGCTTCTGTGGCGAGAGTATTGGTGTTGCGAACGCCATCACCGATAACGACAATCTCACCACTGAAGGCTTCGACAACGACACCTTCGACATCGACGCCTTCACCAACAACACCTTTGCGACTTTCAACTCCAACTTCGAGAACTTCTTCACTGCTATGGACGAACCTAATGAGCAGACCGCCAACGGTTCTGCTGAGGCTACTCGTGTCATCGAGGCTACAGAGCAGGACAGCGAGATCGCCTCTGAGCAGTCAAGTGTTCCTTCGGAGGTTATCTCCCCTGCGACCGCGCAAAGTAAGTGGAAGTCTCCTGTCCATTGTTTCCCGCACAGCTGACACGCCAACAGCCACACCGCCGGCTCCGTCCGATAGCCCTGTTATGTTAGATGCTGCGAAGCCTGCTCCTGCTCCTGCCACCCAACTTCACGACCGAGAATATCCCTGGCAGAACACGACAGGCATTTGGCCGCCTCGGACTCCATCGGGAATGTTGGGTATGTTTTCACTTCTCTTCGATGCAAAACCACAAGCTGATTATTCTTAGTCCAGAGCCCCCGTCTGCCTCCGCCTCAAGCTGTCTTCTATGGTGCATCTTCCCACACACAGCGTCTGCCGCCTCGCTTCCAACCCGTGACAGCCGCAACAACTCCCATTGTCGCCAGAACATCAGTTGGGGAGTATCAACGACCGCATAGACCACGTCCTCAGCGAACATCAAGCCAACCAGCCGTTCATCCCACTTGCAATCAGTTCTCAGGAAGAATGACCACGATGAACAACGCGTCCGCCAGTATGCCCGCCACAATTCCCACGATAATCCCCACCAACGCGCCCTTCAGGATGGCTACTACCACTTTGAGTGGAATGCCGAACACGCAACAGTATATGAATAGCCGTGCGGTCAACACTATTCAGACTGGCCATGCACCTCCAGGCCTCAACAGCTTTCACGACGCGTCCTACATGGCACAATCTCAGTACGCCATTCAACCGGCAGCTTTGCTTTCCCAAGGACAGACTCAACAGACTCAACTTTCAACTTGTGGGTTCGAGCAGCCGTCTGTTTCGATTACGCTATTCCAGTATCAGATGATGCGGCACCAGTTAGAACAACAGCAGATGCAGCTGGAATCATTGATGCGTATGCAGCAGAACAACAACATGCGAAACAACATGCAGCCCGCTGCTCCAGCAAGCATGACGCGAACTGCGCACACTCATAACCACCGCCGAAAGCGGGTACCAGCAACGACTCAGGAACCATCCACTGGCGTTACTCAACCAACAGCGAAGAGACCCAGGACCCAGCGGCAACAGCTGGAGTCAAACACGTCTGCTGGAAGTAGCGTTCCCCGAAGCACGAGCGCACCTCGGCCTGGCAACCGCGGCGCGGTTTGCTCGGCCCCAGATCCGGTGCCATTTGTTCCCCACTAGGTCGCGGAGCAGTCTGCAGCGTTTCTTTGGTGGCAGCGTCAAGCACACCAAATTGGCATTGATGTGTGCTTCTGATACCGTATGTGTAACATCATCCAGAGACTGGCCCTCGAAGGAGCCGACACTGCTTTCATCAGTTCAACGCACATTGCATCACTCTACTAGCTTTTCTTTTGTTCTTCTCAATAGGGTATGGGGACTTAGGCTTCCTCAGTGTTGTGGGACACTCATGGTATTCTTTCTTATGTTCTTTGTTTTCTTTCGACTTTGATAACCAATAGACCTTTTTGGTCACTCCATAAATACACTCTTTGCTAAAGCAACTCTTCTCTAAATGAATATTACCTGTGAATCACGCGTCCCTATCAAAAGCACGACCGGACTTGCTGCCGATATCAATCCTGGTGGGTCAAGTCCGAGGCGAATGCAGGTGAGTCACTGCGCATTCTCAGAGACCCCATTCCGGTGAAGATTTCTCCCGATTTCGTGGTGTTCCTCAAGATGTGTTATTCTTATGGGCGTAACTGGCGTATCTTGTGAGTGGGCCTGGTGGCTGTAGCATCCCGGATTTATTGCTTCGTATTGCGCAGATATTTAATGCGAAACCGAATTTGATGCTCTTTTATTCCGATTGGCCAAAGAAACCTCACAGGCAGCCGTGAGACTGATGAACATGAACGAACTGTCCTTGGATCTGACTCGAAAAAATTCATTCAACTTTACATTATGAGCAGTGAGCTCAACCCCGAGCATATTTTGCGTGGTCGAAACTTTGGAGTATGCAATCGCTCATGGCCAAATTCCAAAAGCACTCATATCCTCCTTCTCATCCAACCTCCCCCGCCCGTTGACGATGGCGTCTGCGACCACCTTCCTGGCCTCTCCGTCCCCAGCATCCCGCTCCCGACCGCCAGTGACCCCTCCACCAAGACAGACGTCTCCACCCTCGCGGGACTCACCCTCATCTTCGTGTACCCCCGCTCCGCCGTCCCGGGCGCGCGGGGGTGTACCCCGACGGCGTGCTCGTATCGCGACAACGCGGCGCGGCTGGCGGTTGCCGGGGTGGCGCACCTTTTTGGCGTGTCGGCGCAGACGGCGGGGGTGCAGAGGGAGTTTCGGGAGCGGGAGCACTTGCCGTATGCGTTATTGAGCGACGCGGGGCTGGAGATGGCGAGGGGGTTGGGGCTGCCTACGTTTGAGTATGGGGGGATGGTTGTTGAAGATAGTTACCATGGCGGTTGAAGGGGGGAGGGGGGGTGAGGTTTTGGTATCCAGTGTTCCCGGCTGATAGGATTGTTGGGGAGGTATTGGAGTGGTAAGAGGGGCGGAGGGCTGGAGGGAGAGAGTGAGCTGGGATTAGATGGTTTCTTTTGGATACCTTCGTCTGGATTTATCGAGATCTTGGTCTCAGCTAAGAAGCTCTTGAATGTTGAAGATACTCCTTGAAGTGTTCTTCCAAGCGTACGTCAGCACGAGAACTTGAACAGGTTTTAGTCGCCATGGCGCAAAAGAAGCAGGCTCTGTCCAAAAAGACCCTTCAACGGTTGTCCAACGTGATCTGTCATATGCGACCAGTCTGGTTCTTGTCGAGAGGTGGATTTCTAATCATGCAGGCTGACAACTCCTGCCGGGTCATGCGCCAATTTTGACAAGCCTTCTCACACCATGCTTCGACCACTTTCGTCGCGAGGTCACGCGTGTTTTGCGAACTGATAAACGGAGCCTCCTGTGCCTTGCAAAGTAAGGATTTCGAGCTGCATGTAAATCAACCTCATGAGTGGGGCGCACAGGCAGCTCACCACTCGAAACGGAAATGAAGGCCGAAAATCCTGCTTCAGCTTCAATTAGAATTTAGCCGCGAGATTGCTTATGCTGTGAGCAGCATGCATGCCAAGTAGTGTGGGAGATAAGGCGACCAATAACAGCCCGGGCTTCTGAGCCTGAATTCGCCAGAGGCTCCCCTCCATTATACCGAAGTTCTGGCAATATATGCACAGGTTCACCCTCCGTTCCTGCAAATAGTGTCTCAATCTCCTTCTCGCAAACATCGCAGTAAACTTCGTTGGGTATTGTTTCCATATCCAGTTCAGTCCTTTCTTGAGAAGCGGGCTGTCAGCCATGGAATCTACCTCAAACGACACAGACGAACGGCTCAACAATCGTGACGGGCACGCGCATGATGACTTTTCGACACAACCACTGGACAACGGTGATGGTGAAGAGAACATTCATAAGGATGAACGAGAACAGCCTAATACACCAAGCAACAAAAGTGTTCCAGAAATCGAAACGCGACTTCTTAGCTTTCTTCAAGATCTAACTACGCCCAGCATCAGCAGTACCAATGACGACGTCTCGGAACATAATTCCATCAGGGATGACAACGATACCGTCAAAACAGCCGCCGATGTTCCTGTCAATGCTACTGTCAGTCCCACTGATGAAAAGGTCGATGCCACAAGCAGTGGAACTGCCGAGCCTGCTGTCAAAGCTGCCGAAGACACCACTGGTGCTGGCCGTGATCTTGCGGATGACGACGCATCTGTCGCTGTTGCTAGCATCGCCACCACGCCTATGGATGCCGGCTTGCCCGAGTATCTGGAAGAAACGCTGGAGGATGATGTTAATGTACCGTCTTTGTGGTTCCCACACTCGACGCCACTTCACATCGCCATCCAGAAGGGCCGCGTGAAAATCTGCGAACAGCTGATTAGTGCTGGTGCAGATATCAACGCGCGGGACGACGATGGGGTGCAACCTTTACACACTGCCTGTTGGTATGGCAACTCAGACTTGATCAGGCTTTTATTAGACAAAAAGGCTGGAACCACAGGTCCGGACTCAGATGGATGGTGTCTCCTCCATTATGCAAGCTTTTACGATCTGGAGCCAGCCTTGCTGGACCGTCTAATCGAGGTCGATCGCAAGTACCTTAACAGCAAGGAAAGGTTTGAAGGTTGGACGCCAGTCAGCCGGGCTACTTGGTTTGGGCGCGAAAGTGTCGTCGACGCCTTGTTGAAAGCAGGAGTGGATCTTGATATTCCAGACAACGCCAATCGAACGCCGATGATAATGGCCATCAAGGAACAATACTTCTCAATTCTCGACAAGATGGTCAATCATCTCGCCCTGGTTGGTTCAGATCATCTGTCTGAACGTGCCATCGATCATCGTGATGACGAGGGAATGACAGTCCTTATGACCCTGTGTGCTGCTGAACCAAGCTCTGCCTCAGTGGAATCTCTTCGCAACTTCCTCGAAAGTTTGAGACCGAATGCCGATATCACAGACAACATTAACCAGACGGCACTCGATCATGCCATGATTATGGCTAAGACATTCAACAGTGATCATGCAAAGAACACTGCATTAGAAATCATAAGATGGTGGCCCCAGGAGACGCTTTTGCGACCGACCATGGCAAAGAAGACAGCATTTGATGATGCTTTCGACAACGAGTCTCGCCCACTGCTTGATGCCATGGTCAACCGCCTCAAAGAAGACGGCCCTCTGAGGGACCAGCTTTTACGCTGGCTTGCATTGAGAGAGGAGCGTCATACTATCGCGATCGACATTCTGTCAAAGCTGGGCACTCAGGACTCCATTGATTTATTGAAGTCACGAGATGAATGGACACTAGTCGACTGGGCGATATATCGTCGAATGCCTCGAGTGTTGCTGAATTGTCCTGCTCTCGATGACCGTGGCAGAAAGCGTGGTACGGGAATTATTGAGCAGTTGAAGCAGATCTACCCTGCCCAAGAGAAAAAGAGAAATACGGATCGGAAGGACGATTTGACCGAAAGACAAGTCCTGAACGCGATGGTGGGTGTTCTGAGTTTCATTCCTCGAGTGCCTAAAAAGTACTGGAAGATTTCCAAACGTACCCCCGAAATGACGAGATGCTCTAAACACTTCAATGCAGCAGCGGTCAGATTTCACCTGCTGGATCTGGAGGCCCTCACGTTCCAAAAGGTTGATGAGCTTGTCTACGGCGATTCACCCATCAAGTTGACTACAATCGACCAAATTCAGCAATTTGGTACGGGGACGAAACCCTGCACAGAATCAGCCAGGAAAAGCCTGCCCACCGAAAGTGCCTTCACATGGATTCATCTCCCTGCCACAAATGTTAGTCGCTTAACTTTCAAATTTCTTGTAGTTCACAGGCTAATTTTGAGTAGATGGAGTGGATGAAAGTAAGATTGCATCCTTTACTGTTTTAACGCTGGTACAACTGAAAACTTAAACATTTTTCCGTGTAGGACACCGCAGTGAAGATCATGAGATCGCAGTCGCAGAATGAGATCAGTGACCAGGAAAAGTTGGCTTCATTCTTGCAAGCCAGTTGGGTTCAAATTCCCGACAAAACGTCTCCATCCCGATTCATGCGGCCGCGGTACGTCAGAATGCAGGCTGAAGATGTTTCGGTACCGGAAACAAATTCGGTCCAGAGTGAGTTCATAAACCTTTCAAAAGTGTCTGAAATAGGTCCTTATAACACAAACATAGGTAATCATGCACCAGGAGATAATGTTGGATCCCCGCCAGGTCCCGTTGCTCAGGATGACGAGAAAATGAATTCTAGCAACTCCCTTCATTGTCCAGCTTCAGCACTCTACGTGAGATACTAGCGATGTCTTTCTTTCCCTTGATTGGTACTGACATGGTCAATCAGATGCCATTTCTTGTAGTCGGGCAATATGATCACGAAAAGGAACACACACACCATGACGGCACTCCTGAGGCGACGTCCTTTCCAAGGCCTCAGTCAATGGAGCAACCTGAACGTGCTTTTCAACGCCAAGATCTTTTCAGTGCCTACAAAACCTCTGTCCTTCACGACTCTCCAACATTGGACGAGCATTATTATCACTTCGCTGAGGACAAAGATTCCGCTAGAGATCGATTGGACCGAAATGAAACCCAGGTGATCACGAAATACCTGTCGCCGGGCTCAAAGGTAGGCGGCAAGCGTCAGAAGCCTCAGAAGCCTCAAACTATCCTACGCGTCAGCCAGTTATGGGCATGGACAATTGGTGACAGTAAGTCAATAATTGCAGATACCACGAGGGCTTTACGGTAGCGCTTACCACTCGCGTAGAATGGCTCATCACATCAACCTCTTGCGCTAAGGTGGATGAGAAAAGCACGTTTGTGGCGGAGATTCGTGAGCATCTCCTTCGGCGAGCGGATGATGGGAGTTTGAATGGTGGAATTAATTCTCCACAAGAACTAAGCAAAGTTATTGCCGAGTACTGCATTGGGGCGTATGAAAGAAAGCAGGAGCTCGAGAAGCAAATCTCTGAACCTATCAGGGACGACCAGTCGGACCCCGCGTCAGCAAAGACAAAGGTTAACGGTGGAAAAGCCGCGCACAACCAAGCTAGAACACGCGTTGTCGTTGAAGAACGATCTATTCGTCAAGTATTCTCCGATTTCATCAACCAAATTGTTCGCTGTACCACACCTAAGTCGATGAATTGTTGTCTGACTGTGCGCACAGGGACGAAACGAAACGGATTTGTTTCTCCAATTCTCCAATCAACCAGTCGAAATGGATGAAAAACAAGCCAAAGGCAAGAACCAGCCGCTCACGCTTACAGATGTTCTAGAAGCAACGAGGAAAGCAGCCCGGTTTCTATTTCAGATTAAAGATGTCCGTGACGAATTGCACATCCTCAAAACTATCGCCGAATATCAGCAGAAGGTTCAAGCTAGCATGGAGAACACGATACCGAGCGTTAGCAAGGCGGGGTTCGATGAGAATATGAAGGCCAAATACGTCAAGAATGACGTTGAGGAATTGGATAGGCTTGCTAGCAACATTCAAGAAGCTGTAAGCTGAGACAAATGACTATCAACGAGGCCGGGGTCTGACCATCGATCTATAGTTACAAACAACCCTCACACTGCATGAGAGTGAGATCGCGAATCGGCAGGCCAAAGAGGCTGTTGATCAGGGAAAGAGAGTTATAATATTTACAGTTGTCACTGTATGGTTCGTAAGTTGCGTCCGCCCATTGCTCGCTTGTTGACGCCCATGCTGATAATCGGCCGAGTTGCCACTCTCATTCCTCACCAGTTTGTTTGCCTTGGATGTGGAATCCTTCCTTGGAGCACCCTGGTGGTCTCTTGTCGTGATTTGTACGGGTCCCTCCCCACTGATACTCTTTAAAATACCGGGTGCTAATCTCATCGCTCTAGTAATTGTACCTTTGCCTTTCCTCCTTGTGGCAGTTGGATACATGTACGACTGGGACATAAAAGCGTTGTCTTTCCGGGACCAAAAAGGGGAGGAACATCCCATCAATTCAACTGCCAACAAGGCATCGCGTAAATCCAAACGCACCGGAGGCCTACGTAGGAGATTGACACGGCAGACAGAGGAACATGACGATTGGGATGGGAGGAGTCTGGTATAATGTTCTAGTGACCCCATTGGGTTATTCTCACGGTCCTTAAGACTAATCCTATGGGCAGAACACGGTGTCGGGTTTCCACTGAACGAACTCACAAGACCATTCGAATGATCTTTTGAGACTGTTGCAACCGCCCAGAGGGTTGATCCGCACATGAATCATGACTCGAGACCTGCGACTGGAGGCCTTGAAAAGTCTCCGTCCACGCCACGTAGGCCGGGGAGAATATCCCCGCAATGTTCCCGCTTGTCGCACAAACACAAAATCAGGTGTTCTCATTTGGGAACCTTGAATGTGAGCTCAGGCCAATTCGACTAGCATGGATATTACTGATCATACCGACAATAGCTGGTTCAAAACTCTCGGTCTGCGGACTTGTCCCTGAAAACAGTGGTCAAACCTCCGAAACCCAATAAGCTTCCTAATGTAGCCGGTCCGGTGGGTTGCGTAATGGTTCTTGGCAAACGGATGAAATTCAGAACTACCATCGCGGTGCCGGATCAGATTGTCCAGATTATTTATTCTGCTGCTCTCCCGGCAGATCTCTTGTGCATCGGTGCATCTACTCTCGTCTGAATCCACACATACACCAAAGCGTCTTCAACTCAATAAAACGTCGGCTCTCAAGCATTACGCCATTACAATCAAAATGAAGTTCTCAATTATTGCCGTCGCCCTTTCAATTTTCGCGGGAAACGCGTATGCTCTACACGTAAGCCAAACCACCCTCGATAATCCCGCCCCTTGTATATCTTGTCTGCTGTTGCTTTCGGTTTCGGTTATCGTCATCTCAAATACCCGATCCTTATAAGCTCGGTTCTATTGTATTCAAATTGTCTAACAGTATGTTGCAGAGGTGCTCTTGCCAACTTGGGTCGTCGTGTCAAAGCTTCTCTCAGGTTGAAGACAATCAGAGCTGCAGCGCCTTCTGCAAAGCAAGCTTCAACAATGCCAAGACCTGCTGATCATAATTACTGCAGATGTTATAATGGCAGAGTTGATATAGAACTACGATAGAAAATATTGATTTAGCGTTGCCCACGCAGTTCTATCAGATTCCCGTTGAGAACCAGCGACTGCTCCCACTTAAAATGCAACCCTAAATGTCGGCACTGCTAGTGTTGTCACTGAGTTTCCCCTTCATATGATGTCTTGTAGTGTAAGTGATGGTCGGAACTCAGCTAGCGATAGAAAACTGCTGGTTCAGACCGTCCCACAACGCTACACCAGCTGAAAATCTCCACGCGTATGCACGATAAGAGCGCAGACCAATCAGGCGACTGCTCTTGATGCACCCTGTCAGACGGCACCAGTAATACTGGGTGAGAATCAGCCTAAACCCCTCTTTTTTCTCCCAAACTCACCGCACAATTTTGCACAACAGCTCAAGCCGGTGCGTCACTGATGTGGCAGCTTTCATTCGGGCGTTGGTTGTATATCCGATGGATGCCACCTATGCTTTCCGGGACATGACCCTGGCCGTCAACGGATCGGGTTACTGTCCCGGCTGCTATGAGTTCTTCGACTTTTTTCCGCCTCCGAGGACAATCACCGCATTCAGCAAGACGTTCAGCCTCAAGAAACGGAGACTTGTGCAAGAGTTCTCCTCGGTGTGCCAACTCTGCCTTCATGTTCATCGATTTCTGAAAGATGGATATGGGCCGGACTATGATGCTCCAGATAAGCCTGGAGATCAGTATGATGTCAACATCGAGGCATCTAAGTGTTTTCTCTCGGGAATGAGCAAAGATTCTTTTTCGAGTCTTGGTTTCAGTTGGAAGATGTCGCACAAAGTGCGACCATTGAAATTGGCCGTCTGGGCTTCAAAAGGCAAGCAAGTCCTTGCCGAACGAATTGGGCGGGAAGTCTAGTCTAACCCCGGCGACTGAGTACAGACACACCTGCGTCTAAACTGATAGCCACTCTGCCACCACTTCTGGATGATGATCCGGCTAAAACCGCAAGTCGTATAAGAGAATGGTTACATCATTGCATTGAAGGTCATCCAATCTCCAGACCATGTCTAAACGAATCTTGCGACGCTGAGGCGGGGCCTATGCCTCCAATCACTGCCAAGGCCTCAAAGCTACCAACACGGGTCCTCTCCATCACTAAGGATACAAGCAATCAAATATCGGTTAGGCTCATTGAAACAAAAGACTCATATGGATCCTACTGCGCTTTAAGCCACTGCTGGGGTCCTATCAATAAGCAGCCGTTGCGGACAACGCTGCAAAACCTCGAGACTCGAATGGCAGAGATCCCATTTGATCAACTGCCAGCAACGTTTCGGGATGCGGTGTACCTTGTATCGACTCTCCAAATCGAATACTTGTGGATCGATTCTCTCTGTATTGTGCAAGATGACCCAAGGGAATGGCTTCGAGAGTCCGAAAACATGGGGTCGATCTACAAGAACGCCACACTCGTTCTCGCCGCTGCTGGCTCGAGGGACTCGACTGAAGGGCTGTTTATCACAAAACGCCCTCATCCTGAAACATTCACGTTGCCCTATTCACCATACTCTCTCGTTACTGGAAGGGCTACATCTTCGCAAGGAGAGTACAACTTGGCGATACTTCCTCAAGAGCCTGCAGCCCCATCATATGGTCCACTACATCAGCGAGCTTGGGCCTACCAAGAGTGGTACTTCGCCAACAGGAAGGTGTTGTTCATGCCAGGGGGCATGTCATGGGCGTGTTCGCATCGCGAGTATAACGAACAATGGAATTACTCAAAGCCTCAAGTCCTTTCAAGTTCTTGGTTGGCACTTTTGAGCGAATACACCGGGAAAGTCCTCACGTATCCTTCGGATCGACTAGTTGCGATCCGCGGCATTGCGACTGAAACTACTGGAGCATCTAACCTATTCCGCCACATGTTCACAGACGAGAAAACCGCATCAGCTGAGAAGAACGTTGCGGAAGGCAGGCCGGCTCTCGAGGCCATTGATACCATGTTCAAGTTCGGCGTTTGGAAAGCACAACTGCTCGAACAACTTCTTTGGCTGCCGATAGAAATGTCTAGTGACGATGAGTATCTGCCAGAGCTGCCATCATGGTCCTGGGCCGCCTCAGGGGGTGCGAAAAGGTGGCCCTTGGGGACCTACAACAGCATCCCAATTAGGCCAGAGAGCCGGGTCGATATCGCGAACCTAGAGCTAATGGACTCAGGACTGGTGCAAGCAAAGGGTCAAATGCTCAGCGTGGGGCTTACTCCGCTGCAAGAATGCTGTGTCAACCATCTGTCCGAGGAAGTGACACATGCCAGCATCGCGTCAAGCCTACAACGATCTGAAAATATTGAGCTGGCGTTCTCCGCACTTAACTCTGGAGAACCCGATAAGAAGATGAAGGATTTCCTAATGCGCGATTCACACAGTACAAAGGATGACAAGATTATTGGGGTAGCAAGGCTTGATCAAGAAGTCCCGACCCACAACATCCAGTTCCTCGTCGTGGCTTCGGTTCGCCGGCCGATTTTTGATATTTGGTGGGAGACTATCTTTCCAGGCTTCTTTGAACGCGGCTGACTTCCTATTAAAAGCAATCTCCATTTCCTGGGCGATGACATGATACACCGCGCAATACCCTCCTGTCATTGCGACGTAACCACTAGCATACCAGGCCATGGTTCATGTTCACATTGCGGCTCGGTAGGTTTTCTGCGATGAGCTTCGCTTCTTCCCGACACCGCTGACTGCTTAGGTCAATTGCCATGATCTCCTCACGGTTGGGAGTTGCGAAATGGTTTACTGGGGGCTTTTGGTCCAGGAAGTGGACGAAACCCTGGGAAGATACAAAAGAGTAGGGATTGGATTCGTTTATCCCAGCGCTTTGCGGCCGGCTGATGCCCAGGGAGAACACTTGACTGAAACAAAAATTGCGATTGCTTAGCAACAAGGCCCAGTCAGTCATGAGAAACGTATTTACAATACTTCAGCAGCCTTCCCAGCCATCATCACCTGATGTTCCCTCTCATCAGGTGTAAACTCAATGCCACTTCCCCCCGACTCCTTCTTGTCTTCTTCAATGCCCTTCAGGGCCGGTCTGATGTACTTTCTCCAAGCCTCAGGATGAACACCTTCGTTTCTCTTCACCATCTTGTTGATGGGCAACTGTCTTGTCCAACTCATGAGCATTTCGTACGCCTCTCCGTCCTTTCTTCCGATCGCGCTTCCCAACCCAGCGTCTGTGAAGTCCCATGCATCTGTAAGCCCAATAGCGTCCGGAAGAAGCTCGTCCAACAGCCTTCCAAGCGTATGCCGAATCTCATCCAACTGCTCCTCCGACAAGAACCCATCCTCGACAAAAGCCAAGGCATCCGCCGACTGGGGGTTCACAATCGTCGACAACGCAAACACCGATCTCAGCTTCTCCAATACATCCTTCACCTCTTCGTCCTCAACCTTTTCTACAGCTCCGACAAACTCCCTTAAGATGAGATACTCAGTATGCGCCCTCGCAGCACTCATCAATCCCATGACGCACTCATTCCACGCCTCTCCCTTTGTCTTACCCCTCTCCACTCCCTTTCTCAATCCCCTCGATGCCCGATCAATCAACCTTTGAGCCCGGTGCTGGAAGATTAATAGCTGTGTCTTCTCATCTTTCGGATCCCTGAAGTCAGCCTCCGTACACCGTCTGGTATACGGCGCCGCGAGATATCTCAGGTCTCCAGGCAACCCTTGCTCCCCTGCCTTCCCTGCAAATCCCGTAAACTTCATCAGATACCTCGCCAGCTGCTGGAACAACACATGGGTATCCCCTTCGCCGGTACACATCATCGCAGAAGTCTGCACCAGCTCCGGCAGACCCGACGTGACGAGATACCCCTGCCCACCACAGGCCCTTCTCGCATCCTCCGTCCCCTCAGACGCAATCGCCGACGACCACGCCTTCATCCCCGAAATAAGCGCATGCGCGTCCGTCATAGTCGAGAAGTCACCCTCCTCGCTCCTCCGCTCAAACTCCCGATGAACCTCCTCGGTATACTTCGACGCAAACAAGATGCCATACGCCTTCGCCACCAACGTCAACAGCCGAAAATGCTGACTGCGGAAGCTAATCAACGGAACCTCCTCCTCGTCCCCCTTCCCAAACGGCAGGGTCCCCTGCACTCTCACCGTCGAATACCTCGTCGCAATCGTCGTAGCCGCCGCGAGCTGCACACCGTTAACCCACGTCATCTTCGACCTCGTCACCATCATCGTCCCATACGCAGCCTTCTCATGCGTCCCCTCCCTCCTCTCATACACCCCGTCCCGCCCGACCGCCACCTGCGCCATCAACATGTTCCCCCTCGGCACCCTCACTACCTCAAACCTCACAAACCCGTTATCATTCTGGTTATGACTCATCTTGACCCCGATATCCCCCAACTCGACCCCCTCCACCGGCCGCCCCGTCTCCACGTCCCTCAACTGCACCATGAACGGATGCACCCCCTCATCCTTGCCCCTTGTAACCAATCGCGCCATCACAATCGCATGCGACGCCGAGAACGCAAGACTCCCCGGCCAGAACTTGGTACTCGCCGCGCCCCCGGGCGACCTGATCACAAACTCGTCCGTTGCGGGATCAAACTCCGCCACCGTCTCGAGCCCGCGCACAAACGTCCCGTGGCCCAGCTCCGTCTGCACGTACGCGCCGTTGATCCGCCCCGCGAGCGCGGGGGCGAGCCAGCGCGCCTGCTGCGCCGGCGTCGCCATCAGCTGCAGCATCTTGACGAACATGGCCGGCGAGAGGCCGAAGGGGGAGTAGTTGAAGAGCGTATAGCGCGGCGTGAGCCAGTCGAAGTGGGCGTGGTTGTGCGTCCGGCGGTCTTCCCAGACGGCGCGGCCCATGCGGAGGCCGTCGAGGTATCTGGGAACGCCCTTGGTCAATACAATGGTCGTTTGCGGGAAAGGGGACATGTTCGAGATGAACTTACAGGTCTTCGCGGCTCGTCTTGGCATAGTGCCCCGGCAGACGCGACGTATCATCCGTCCCAAGCGCCTTCTCAACCCTCGCCCAAGCCGCGCGTCGAGCGCGGACGACAGACGCTCCGCCGCAGATGAGGTTGGTAAGCTTCTCGACGTCGAAGCTCGTGCGTGAGCGCGCGTTGGCCATGGCCAGCGCCTGCTTCGATATCGACTTTAACGCGGCGGGCATCGTGGGTGTGTGCAGGATGCCCCTAGATTTCAGCAAGAGAGAGGAAAGTCAGCAGCCTGCGACCGATATTCTGCACACAAACCTCCGCAGAAGATCGAGGAAGGAGGGTCTCTGTTCATAAGATCTCCAGCATGCCCGGAGATCTCATCCCACCGTAATACGCATCGGAGACCGACCCTCATGCCCAGGCTCACCCGACTTGACCACAGAGAGGTTGGATGTTTACCCACTTACTGAAAGGAGACATCTTAACCGCCCACGGGATGGATGGTACGAGGATAGTTGGGAGTGTGCGGCCCCGTCCGTCTTCCACCCTCTTCAGTGTTGCCATCCTCGATACGAGACCATCTTCTCGTCACTGTTCTGATTTTCAGCTGTGCAATAGTTGGCAACATCCGTCGTAACGAGTCAGTCTTCGCCGTTCGTAGGCGTTCCATTTTTCCACAATCGGCGGCAGCCAAGCCAGAAAGTCTCTCAGCCCACTCAAATCCAGAAGAACTTCTCTTTCCAAACCAAAAACAGCACTCCCCAACTCGGAAGCAGCCCAGGACAAAACCACCACAAGCCCACCTCCCGCTTATTGGCCACCTCTCATCTTATCAGATCAAACCCGACCTTCGGACGAAGAAAATGGGCCGGCCCGAAGTCCCACCTTCCATCCATTCAGGGGTGGTGTCGTACCCGATCCCCAATCGTAAGTTCGACAGCCCTCCATCCAAGGATCCCACGCGGCTCACCTACCTAATACAGCAATCGTGTTACAAACCTCGCCAAGACTACGATGCCGTCAGATTAAGCCTCGACGTCAAAGAGATCCAGTTCGGTGGGGGGTCATGTACTATCCCGTCGGCTTTTGGCCGATGGGTCCCGGTACCAGTACGGGCTCCATCCGTGACGTCTCTTACCCCCCTGTACACAGAACGGCAGCTTTCCGCGAGCAACATGGCCTGGACTTGTTTTGATATCCGAAATCCGAAAGGCTTCTCCGTTGTTGACGAAGACTGAAAAATCTCTCGACCGGCGACCACGGAGTGCCTAAGATGATCTGGCACCCTTCAATACGGTGTACCTCGTAAGATGGGGCCAAATGGCATCAATCTGTTAATATCTTGAGGCCTATCTTTCAAGTCTTTCACTTTCTAAAATTCTAAAACAACCTGGGTGGAGAAAAGAAAATAAGGAATGACCAAAAAGCCCAGTACGCAAAGACGCATCGATCGACAACTTGTGCGAATGGACAAGCCGCGCAACATGGTATACTCTTTGCTGTACACGCGAATAAATAGCGTCTCAATGGGCGCAAATCCCCGATGTCACGTTTAAATCAGCTTGTTCTCGATAGGTGTTCTCATTTTAACGCAGTCCTGAGGGATGTCAGACGTCAAGTACATAAGCATATGCAGACCTAGTATGTCGCAGCCTGCATACGCGCGGTGCAATTCCTCCGTCACACAACACCACATCATGCAGTTCTTCATCAGCTTATGCGCCCCTCCGAGCCGCCTTCACCCGCCGGTGGGATACCACCATCGCACGTCAAAGATCCATCGCCGACAGCAGGATCTGATCCTGGCTCTTCAATGTGGGAGATGTGTCATTTGTCCCGCTTAGTCTCGCGTGGTGGTGTGAGAGGTTAGACAACCCATCGGAGATAAGACACAAGGATATCGGCGATCAGGAGACGACGCATGGCCCTTGCTGATTGAAAGCCTCAGGGGGAACGTAGTCAGTAATCTTCGCTTGAGATCAGGCAGGGCATACTTTTATCATCACATGAACAAAGACCGAAGTATGCTCAGTATAAATACGTCGTATCATTACACGGGAAGTTATCCCAACATTGAAATCTATCTTAACACACAGCAGAATAATGCTCATACATACTCATAATCATCCCAAACACATCTAATGCCATTCATTACCCATACGCCATCCAATCCACATATACTTAATCCCTCAGGTACTTGAGAAGCTGGTCACGCTCCTCAGGAGGCATGGTGCGGAGGACCTCGCGGACACCACGCATACCAGCGTTGGCGTTGTTTCTCAAGATGGCGCTCAGCTCAGTGGCCAAGTTGTCAGCCTTAACAGCCTCGATTCTCTCCGTGATTGACTTGCGGTTACCCTCGTACCACTCAGAAACCTCGCGGTCGTTGGTGGCGAAGTTGACGACACCGGACCAGGACTCAAGGAACTGGAGGTTGCGTTGGCGAGCCTCGGGAGTCTGGGTGCGGTCGGAGCCAGGTCCTGAGGTGACAATGCTAGAGTTCATGCGCTTAAGGAGGTACTCCTCGTTGAGGCGGCGGCGCAGGCGCCAGTAGAAGTAGCGACGAGAGTTGCTCCACTCCAGCTGGTCACGGATGACACCCTTGGCCTTCATGCGGCCGGCACGGTCGTGAAGGTCGGCAAACTGAACAGCGATCTGGGAGTAGACGGGCAGAAGCTGCTTCTCGCGGATGGTCATCTTCTTCTTGAGCTCATCGGCCTGCTCCTTGGGAAGGTCTGCGGTCATCTGCTTCTTAAGAGAGGCGTAGACGGGGTCAAGGCGTGCCATGGTCTCAAGCTGCTTGTCCTTGCGGTACTTGATACCGATGATACCCTCGGGCTCGAGGACACCACCACGAGCATCGACGTCGGCGTACATCTCCATGTAAGTGGGGTTGATGGTGGGGTCAACGACGACCCAAGAGCCACCACGAAGCTCACCGAAGGGAGGAATGTAGACGAAGACGGGCTGCTCGTACTTGACGAGGGCGTCGACGATGTAAGAACCGTACTTGAGAACCTCGTTGTACATGTCGCGCTGACCACCAGAGAAACCTCTCCAGTTGGCGAGGATCATGAGAGGCAGCTGCTCACCGTTGTTGAAGTCGTTGATAGCCTGAGCAGTCTTGAAGGCGGAGTTGGGGTACCAAACACCACCAGCCTCGTTGGTGACCTGCTCGATGGAGTCGGGGTTGGCGGGGTCGGCAGGAGTGATGTTCTCGACAGTGCGGGTCTCAACGGCAATGACACCCATGGGGATACCGTTAAGGCGGGCGCGACCGACAACGACGGTACGGGCCCAACCGCCGAGAGTCTCGACGAAGGAGTCCTTGTCGAAGAGACCGGACTCAAAGGTGCCGTCCTCGTCAGTGCGACCGTGAATCATCCACCTGACGTCGTAAGGCTGCTTCTGGGGAGGCGTGTAGACAACGTCACGGTCCCAGCTATCAACACTGGGGCTGATGGGAACCGGGTTGCCACGGCTCTGGGGAATGAACGACATCCACTCAACAATCTTGGAGACACCATCGAAATCGTCGGCACCAGTCATGTGGGAGACACCGTTGCGGTACATGATCTGGGTACCACCAAGCTGGAGGTTGGAGGTGTAGATCTCACGACCAAGAACGTTGTTCAAGGCAGGGGCACCGGTAAGAATAATGGGCTGGCCCTCAATCTGAACAGCACGCTGTCCAAGACGGACAAGGTAAGCACCAATACCTGTTCTCTTATTAGCCATGTCCACTTTGGAAAAATCATTTTGTACTTACCAACAGAGCGGCACGTCACCAAGGTGACGGTGAAGATGTCGTTGTAGGCCTTACTGGTGGCACCGGCGATGAGACCAGAGCCTCTCAGGCACTCAACGCCGAGACCATCCTCAGATCCGATAATGGTGACGATCTTGTGGCGCTTCTCGCCATCCTCGGAAACCTCCTCGGTGATGACGTCCTTGGCGAAACGCTTCTGGGCCTCCTCGTTAAGGTACAAGTACTTGAAGCCTGAATCCTGCTTGTTGGCATCGTTCCACGCAACCTTAAAGTAAGGCATCAGCTCGTTGGCGACACCGAGACGAGCACCGGAGTTGGCGGAGAGGTAGATGCGGGGGATACCAAGCTTGCGGGCGAGCTCAGTGCACTTGTAGAAGAAGTTGTCCTCCTTGGGTCCGAAGGAACCGATCATGTAGGTGATATCGTTGGCGACAACAATGAACTTGCGACCCTTGGGGTACTCGGGGGTCTTGGCGTTGAAGATCCAACCAACCATACCGCAGGTGTTGGTGCCAGGCTCGCGGTTGACCTCCTGGAGGTTATCCTTGTCATCAAGGACAAGCTCAGTGTACGAGACGCATTCACCAGCCTTGGGCTGTTGGGTACCAAGAGTGCTGTGCTTCTTGACCATCTGGGTCCAGGTGTTCTGGATAGCCTGGCGGAAGAGCTCAGGGAAATCGTAGACGTACTGGGTACCCATCAGGTGAGCCTTGTAACGCTTGGGCTGCAGAGGGTTCTTCGTGGCGTAAGGAGTCGAGACAGGCAGCAAGTGCATAGGACCCTTCTCCTTGGTGCCACCAATGGAGTTGAAGACCCACTCGCCCTTCTCAGACTTACGCTCGGCGTAGATGTCGACATCAACAACATAACCGGAGGTGTTGGTGATGATGACACGTAGAGGGTAGGGTACGCCGGTCTGGGGGTCGGTGCAGATAATGCGGATCTCAACCTGAGCGACACGAAGGCGCCAAGCACGGGCACCGAAGCGGTCCAGGAAGCCCTGAAGGCTTTGCTCGACCTCCGAGGGGTGAAGCTGGAAGACGGGAGTGAAGTTGATGAAGACCTGGTTCAAATCGGAGTTGTTGTTGCCAATAATTTCAAGGGCATCGAAGATGTCGTTGATGACGCGGTCGGCCTCGGAGATGAGGTACTCAGCAGTGGGGATCTCGTCACGGAGGCGGCCGGGACGAATGACGGCGCGAGTGAAGTAACGCTTGTCGCCGTCAACGGCCTTGCCAACACCCTCGTAGACGTGGATGTTCTTGTTCTCGGTGAAGACGGGCTTGATGTGGAACTTGGCAAGGCGGCCGAGCTCAAGCTGGAAAGCAAGAGCGGGCTCACTGTGACGAATGCTGTCATCCTCGATGTACTCGGGGCCACGGAAGGTGTAGTAGCCGGGGTAAGAACCGTCGTTGCGACCGCAGATGAAGGTGATGCGGCGGACGTTGCGGGACAGAAGCTCAT